AGGGTCAGTCCTAGGACCAATCCTATTCAACTTATTCATACATGACAAGGAGAAAGGAGTAAACACTGAGGTGGCAAAGTTTGCAGATGATACTAAACTGCTCAAGATAATTAAGACCAAAGCAGACTGTGAAAAACTTCAAAAAGATCTCAAAAAACTAAGTGATTGGGCAACAAAATGGCAAATGAAATTTAATGTGGATAAATGTAAAGTAATGCACATTGGAAAAAATAACCTCAACTATACATACAATATGATGGGGGCTAATTTAGCTACAACTAATCAGGAAAGAGATCTTGGAATCATCGTGGATAGTTCTCTGACGACGCCCACGCAGTGTGCAGTGACAGTCAAAAAAGCGAACAGGATGTTAGGAATCATTGAAAAAGGGATAGAGAATAAGACATAGACTATCCTATTGCCCTTATATAAATCCATGGTATGCCCACATCTTGAATACTGCATACAGATGTGGTCTTCTCATCTCAAAAAAGATATACTGGCATTAGAAAAAGTTCAGAAAAGGGCAACTAAAATGATTAGGGGTTTGAAACGGGTCCCATATGAGAAGAGATTAAAGAGGCTAGGACTTTTCAGCTTGGAAAAGAGGAGACTATGGCGGGGGTATGATAGAGGTATATAAAATCATGAGTGGTGTGGAGAAAGTGAATAAGGAAAAGTTATTTACTTGTTCACATAATATAAGAACTAGGGGCCACCAAATGAAATGAATGGGGAGCAGGTTTAAAACAAATAAAAGGAAGTTCTTCTTCACACAGCGCACAGTCAACCTGTGGAACTCCTTGCCTGAGGAGGTTGTGAAGTCTAGAACTATAACAGGGTTTAAAAGATAAATTCATGGAGGTTAAATCCAGTAATGGCTATTAGCCAGGATGGGTAAGGAATGGTGTCCCTAGCCTCTGTTTGTCAGAGGGTGGAGATGGATGGCAGGAGAGAGATCACTTGTTCATTACCTGTTAGATTCACTCCCTCTGGGGCACCTGGCATTGGCCACTGTCGGCAGACAGGACACTGGGCTAGATGGACCTTTGGTCTGACCCAGTATGGCCGTTCTTATGTTCTTATGTATTCTGTTCGTTTTTTTGGCTGCCGTTGCACATTGAGTGGATGTTTTCAGAGAACTACCCACAATGATGCCAAGATCTCTTTCTTGAGTTGTAACAGCTAATTTAGCTCCCATCATTTTATAGGTATAGTTGAGATTATGTTTTCCAATATGCATTACATTGCATTTATCAACACTGAATTTCTTCTGCAATTTTCTTCTCCAGTTGCCCAGTTTTGAGAGATCCTTTTGTAGCTCTTCACAGTCTGCCTGGCATTTAACTTTCTTGAGTAGTTTTGTATCATCTGCAAATTTTGCCACTTCACTGTTTACCCTTTTTATAGACCATTTATGAATATGTTGAATAGGACTGGTTCCAGTACAGACCCATGGGGGGCACAACTATTTACCACTCACCATTCTGAAAACTAACCATTTATTCCTATCCTTTGTTTCCTATCTTTTAACCAGTTACCAATCCATGAGAGGACCTTCCCTTTTATCCCATGACAGCTTACTTTACATAAGAGCCTTTGGTGAGGGACCTTGTCAAAGGCTTTCTGAAAACCTAAGTACGCTCTATCCACTGGATTCCCTTTGTTCACATGCTTGTTGACCCCTTCAAATAATTCTAGCAGATTGGTGAGGCATGATTTTTCTTTAGAAAAAAACATGCTGACTCTTCCCAACAAATTATGTTAATTTATGTGTCTGACAATTTTGCTCTTTACTATAATTTCAACCAGTTTGTCCAGTACTGAAGTCTTGCTTACGGGCCTGTAATTGCCGGAATCACCTCTGGAGCCCTTTTAAAATATTGGCATCACATTAGCTATCCTCCAGTCATTTGGTACAGAAGCGAATTTAAATGATAGGTTACAAACCACAGTTATTAGTTCTGTAATTTCACATTTGAGTTCCTTCAGAACTCTTGGGTGAATCCCACCTGTCCCTGGGGACTTATTACTGTTTATTTTACCAGTTTGTTCCAAAACCTCCTCTAATGATACCTCAATCTGGGACAGTTCCTCAGATTTGTCACCTAAAATGAATGGCTCAGGTTTGTGAATATCCCTCACATTCTCATCCGTGAAGATGACCTGGCCTGTGTCTTTGCAGAGCTCATCTCTTCTCTCCCCCATCCCCACCCCGGCTTCTCATGCAAAAAGGCAGATAAACTCTCCAGGCTGCTGCTGGCCACCCACGTAACCCAGCTGCCACCTGTCCCCGGCTACAGCACGGGCAGGAAGGGGTTAAGTCCTAAGGCTACATTGTGCACTAGGCCCCAGGGAATCTGACTGCAGGGGCTTCAGCGAAGCTGGCCAGAGAGGTGGCTTGGCAGGGGAGAGTGCCTAGGGAATGTAGCAGCCCAGCACCCGCAGTGGACAGGATCCAGGGGGAGGAGCTGAGGGGTGAAGTGGGTGCTAAGCCCCTGCCCCAGGGTCTGCTGTGAAGCCTGCAAGTTCAGGGCATGAACAGGCTGGAAATTTCTTCCCCCTCCTCCCAGAGCTTAGCTGAGGGGCAGAGAGGCTTCCCCGTGCCAGCGCTGTGCGGGGCTTTGGCACATGCAGGTCTCAGCACCTCCTGGCCAGCGTCCTGAGCCAGAGGGTCTTTGGCTTTCCCAGGGCACTGGCCCAGCCAGAGGCAGTGGGCGAAGGAAGGAACCTGCCAGTCAGGCTGCTCTGTGAGGGGCTGGTTCTCTGCACAGGGCTGGAAGTGGGGTGTGCCCCACTTGCAGTCAGGATCTGGGAGAGCAGCGGGGTTTGGGGGAGTGAAGAGGCAAAGCAGGAGAGGACAGCGAGAGGGGGAGTATGTAAAGGGCTGATGGGTGGGCAGCAGAGGCGACATGTAACTGGCTGCTGTCTGGTGCCTGCCCGCACGCACCAGCCACTGCAGTGCACAGCCAGTGACGGTGGGAAATGAGACTGGGGGTGGGGCCCTGCTGGCCATGAGCCGGCGCACAGCAGGGGCTGCGCTGACAGACAAGCAGGGGGAGCAGCCGGCTCCATGTGCTGCATCTTCAGCCTTCCACCAGCCTTGCACCCCCACCCCCATCGTCACCCACTGGATCCCCCCGACTCATTGCTGGTAGGTTGGCATCTGGGAAGCAGGGATCTGGCCAGCAGCACGACCTACTAGTGCAGATGTAGGGGAGATAGAAAATTTGGGACAAGTTGGCCTGTTTTAAGAAAAAGTCGGGACACCTGCAGGAGGGCTTAAATACAGGACTGTCCCTTTAAAACAGGACGTCTGGTCCCCCTCCACCTACTGCAGCTGTAGTTCTCTGGAGCAGAGCTACCAACACGGCTAAGTTTAAAAATGCTGCATCCACGCAGCTGCACCGCTGTGGTGCGTTACTGGAGACGCTCTGCACTGATGGCGGAGAGCTCCCCCAGCAGCGTAGTTAATCCTCCTCCCCGAGAGGCGGTAGCTATGTCTACATGGGAGGGTCAAGTTGGTGTATCTATGTCGCTCACAGGTGTGGATTTTTCACACCACTGAGCAACGTGGTTATCCCAATATAGGTCTGTAGTGCAGACCAGACCTTAATTGAGATTGGCTTCACATATTTAGGACCAAATCCTGAAAAAACTTGGAACTTTACTCAGGTGAGTATTTTCATAAAACTCAATGCGAGTTGCTCGTGAATGAGTTTACTCATGTGCTTGAGTGTTGGTTGGGTGAAGGCCTCAGAGCCTGAGGGATCCAGCAGGAGGATTGTGAAGGAAAGAGGTTCTGCTCTCACCCTATTATAAAATGGGAGTGACTCTGCAATTGTGAGTGTGAAACTGCGGTAGATGCCAGAAGAACCAGTCGTGTGGCTTCTTTACCTCACTTTCACAGTCACTGCTTGAGCCCTGAGAGTGACTGTAGCAAACATGTGGAGGAGAGATTCTGCTGTGGACAGCAGGAGGGAGCGTCCTGCTTCACCTGGGGCCAGAACCATCCAAGTCATCATCCCTTTTTTGGAATGGAGATATTACGTCAGAGGGGCAGTACGTAACTTGTTGTAGGTCACCAGTGTGGTAAAATGTTTGGCTGTGTATGTGTGTGTTCTCGCTGTGTCATTTCCCAGCTCTGCAGACAGTTGGCACAGCAGACCTCGAGTGAACCACCCAATGACCAGAAGATCCGTTAAGGTACGAAGGCAACCAGCCAGGTTTATTGTCGATGAAGCATGGTACTAGTATCCCACAGACTTGACTGAAGCACTAATACATGTATGCTCATTAGAATGGTCCAGCTCAGTGAACAGTGGGACTTTCTGTTTCTCCCCAGGTTAGACAGAGACACTCCCTTTGAGGCTCCGTTTCATACATCGATACAAACAAGTTATATATTGCCCTTCTAACATAGTTAATTGACACCCTCTGACATAGTTGGGTTCCACCCAACACCTTGTATATCTCTACCCATCACACTCTCATCTTGACCTTATCTTTAGGATGGATTCATCATGTTCCTCTTATCTTTAGGGAATGTGTTGGTATGGAGGTGTTCTGGTACCATCCTTATGGAATGTGTTTGCATGACTGCTCTGTGCCAAGCACATCTTAGAAATGTGTGGATTTGAAATATCAGCCCTGTGCTTGCCAGATTCTGTGAGCAGGGCCCGCCTCTAGCTCACAGCCTATTTTTACTTTATATCAACAAAGTTTTGACCATTACTTTAGCCCAGGCCTCAGCCCTTATACTAGGCCTCTAATACTAGGGATTATGTCTCAGGATCTCTTCCTACTACTGTTCCGCAGTATGAGAGTTTCTGGATTTATGGTCACACACGACAGGCAGTTGTCACACAATGAAGTTTTTGATGGTATCTATGATATTCTCAACAAATACATTCCAGTCCTAGCTGACACTACAGTTCTCAGTGTCTTTCTCTTTTGTTGTTAGTCACAGGAAACTGAATAGAAGATCCAAGTGATGGCACATGATGCCAGCTGACAATCACACTGTTTTTGACCCTGTAACTTACATCCTGAATGGCATCCCGGGTACGGAGGAGTCTCATTTCTGGATCGCCATCCCCTTCTGTTTCATGTACGTTGTGACACTTTTTGGGAACTCTCTCCTACTATTCATCATACTAACAGAACGAAGCCTCCATGAGCCCATGTATCTATTCGTGTCCATGCTGGCCACTGTTGATCTGCTGTTATCTACCACTACGGTGCCCAAGATGCTGGCTATATTCTGGTTTAGAGCAGGGGAAATTTCTTTTGCTGCCTGCCTGACCCAGATGTTTTTCATCCATGTCAGTTTTATTGCCGAGTCAGCCATCCTGCTGGCCATCTGCGACCCCCTGAGATATACCGCTGTGCTAACCAAGTCTGTGATTGGGAAGATGGGGCTGGCAGTTGTCACAAGAAGTTTCTGTTTCATTTTCCCTCTCATCTTTCTCGTGAAGCAACTGAAGTTCTGCAGAACCAACCGCCTGCCTCACGCCTATTGTGAGTACATGGCCATAGCCCGGCTGTCCTGCGACGACATCACAGTCAACGTCTGGTATGGCGTAGCCATGGCTATTATAGTAATTGGTTTGGATGTTGTGCTCATTGCTTTGTCTTATGGATTTATCCTCAGGGCCGTCTTCCGGCTCCCCTCCAAGGACGCCCGGCTCAAGGCTCTCCGCACCTGCAGCTCCCACCTCTGTGTCATACTGATGTTCTATGTGCCATCCTTTTTCTCCTATTTTGCACACCAGTTTGGGCACATCATCCCAGGTTATATTCTTAACCTACTGGCCAACCTGTATGTGCTCATTCCTCCCATGTTAAACCCCATCATGTATGGGGTGACAACAAAAGAGATCCTGAAACGGGTGATCAATGTGTGCTAAAGGATGCAACAGAAAATGCTGTGGGGACTTGGAAATTATACCCAGGTTTTCATTGGACCTATAGGGTTGTTTTTACTATGTACTTACACTTTGTAAACTGGAAAGCTGGTCTCTCCTGGCAACAGAATTTAGTCCTATAAAATACATCTCCTCCCCCACTTTGTCTCTCTACTATCCTGGGATTGACATGACTACACAGCACTGCACACTGCCACAGAAGGCATCCACTGAGTGAGTCTTGTTCTAAGTTGAAAGGAAAGAGCAAAACATGAAAGAAAAAAAGGTAAAAATCACCATGAGAGAGAGCACGGTGTGTGCATCTCCTCTCTGACAAGTTGCGTCTAACCTGGACTCTTAATGGCAAAAAAAAGCAACAGCCAAGGGGGCCATGCCATAGGCCAGTGGGAAGTGCACTGGGCTGCAATTTGGGAGAGAGGGGCTCTAATCTTGGTTCTGCCACCAACCTGCTGTGTCACCTTGGGTTACTTTCTTTCCTTCTCAAACTCCTAAATCCTTCTCAGGATCACTGCTTTGTTGGCCTCAGTCCCCCATTCCGTAGCCAAGGCCTGCGTCCCACAGACTGTTTACCTCACTCCATTGTGAAAATGGACCATTTATTCCTACACTTTGTTTCCTATATTTTAACCAATTACTGATCCATGAGGGGGCCTTCTGTCTTATCCATTGATAGCTTACTTTGCCTAAGAGCCTTTGGTGAAAGTCCAAGTGCACTATAGCTACTGGATCACCGTTCTCCAAATTCTTCTGATGACATAAAGAATTCTAGTAGCTTGGCGAGGCATGATTTCTCTTTACAATACCTGTGTTAACTCTTCCCAACATATTGTGTTTATCTTTTTAAGCCATTGGAAATATTTGCTGCTAGCAGTTGCAGATTGCCTACAATGGCATATGGCCAATCTCATTATACCATCCCCTCCGTAAACGTATCCATCTCACTTTGCAGATGAGGACATTTCTGGGTGCAGAGTAGGCTCGAGGGGGGCTGATAGCTCAGGATGGGGGGATCCCAGCTGGGGACTGCCCACTCTGCAAGTGTGGAGACAGGCTGGGGAGTGGAGGCAGGACAGGGGCAGGTTTCATAGAATATCAGGGTTGGAAGGCACTTCAAGAGGTTATCTAATTCAACCCCCTATTCAAAGCAGGACCAATCCCAACTAAATCATCCCAGACAGGACATTGTCAAGCTGGGCTTTAAAAACTTTTAAGAATGGAGATTCCACCACCTCCCTAGGGAACCCATTCTAGTGCTTCACCACTCTCCTAGAAAAATAATTTTTCCTAATATCCAACCTAGACCTCCCCCACTGCAACTTGAGACCATTGCTCCTTGTTCTGTCATCTGCCACCACTGAGAACAGCCGAGCTCCATCCTCTGTGGAACCCCCCTTCAGGTAGTTGAAAGCAGCTATCAAATCTCCCTCACTCTTCTCTTCTTCAAACTAAATAAGCCCAGTTCCCTCAGCCTCTCCTCATAAATCATGTGCCCCAGCCCCCTAATAGTTTTTGGTTGCCCCCCGCTGGACTCTTTCCAATTTGTCCACATCCCTTCTATAGTGGGGGACCCATTATTTGACACATTACTCAAGATGTGGACCCACTAGTGCCGAATAGTGGGGAATAATCACTTCCCTCGATCTGCTGGCAGTGCTCCTATGAATGCAGCCCAATATGTCATTAGCCTTCTTGGCAACGAGGGCACACTGCTGACTCATATCCAGCTTCTCATCCACTGTAATCCCCAGGTCCTTTTCTGCAGAAATGCCACTTAGCCAGTCACTTCTCAGCCTATAGCTGTGCATGGGATTCTTCCATCCTAAGGGCAGAACTCTGCACTTGTCCTTGTTGAACCTCATCAGATTTCTTTTGGCCCAATCCTCCAATTTGTCTAGGTCACTCTACACCCTATCCCTGCCCTCCAGCGTATCTACCTCTCCCCCCAGCTTAGTGTCAGCTTAGCTAACTTGTTAAGGATGAAATCCATCCCATCATCTAGATCATTAATGAAGACGTTGAACAAAACCAGCTCCAGGACAGACCCCTGGGCACTCCACTTGATACCAGCTGCCAACTAGACATCGAGCCGTTGATCACTACCCTTTGAGCGTGAAGATCTGGCCAGCTTTCTATCCACCTTATAGTCCATTTATCCAATCCATACTTTTTTAACTTAGTGTCAATAATACTATGGGAGATTGTATCAAAAGTTAAGAAGGCAATCAGGATGGTCAGGCATGACTTGCCCTTGGTGAATCCATGTGGATTGTTCCTGATCATCGTCCTCTCCTCAAAGTGTTGAAAAATGGATTTTTTGAGGACCTGCTCCGTGATTTTTCCAGGGATTGAGTTGAGGCTGACCTGTCTGTAGTTCCCAGGTTGTCCTTCTTCCCTTTTTAAAAGATGGGCATGATATTTGCCTTTTTCCAATCGTCCGGGACCTCCCCCAATTGAGGTTTGTACCTTAATAAACTGGAAGTTCACAATCTGTTTAATTTTCCCCATTTTTCCAGTAGTTTCTGGCTCAGAGAGGAAGGAGACAGGCAGAGAGTAAGTTACAGACCCTGTTCCACACTGGCTCTAGGTTAGTTTCCTCTTGCTCCCGCTGTACATTACTGAAGGGCAAGCAAAAAGGATCCTTCTTTTCTCCCTATGCCAGACCTGTAACCCCAGGGCAAAGTATCTGCATGGCAGGGAAATGTAGACCTTGGATGACATCTGTGACGGGATACCTGAGGTCCAGCCTGGGACCATGGGACCACTGTGCCTCCGGAACTCTGTCCAGCCTGTACTGTCTCTCAAAATGCCTTGGTAGTGATGAGCGGAAAACCCCTCCAGGTGTTATCACTCAGCACAACCGCATATGGAGCCCCACACCCAGCTAAATTGCATAAATGCTCAAAGAGCCACTCATGAATCACACAGGGAAAGGAACCAGCCAAATCTCCTCAGCTCCAAGCCTTGTAGTTCAGGATATACCATCTTGCACTATTCAAGATTAGCAGAGCAAATTTATTAATTGGTTCACCACTTCGTCAATGGAAAGTGGAAAGTTTTGCCACACACTTCATACAAACTCACTGGTAAAGATAAACAGTAAAACAAATGTATTGACTACAAAAGATTTTAAGTGATAGGCAAAAAGTCAGGTTAGTTACCAAAATAAAATAAAATATAAGCACACTGTCTAAACTGTCAACCCTATTAGACTGGGCAACATTAAGTTTCTCACCCCACTGGATATTGCAGTTAATAGTACAGAGATTTTACCCTTGAAACCTGCTCCAGTCCCCTCTGGGGGAATCTTCAGTCTTATCAATGTCCTTGTTGCTTTCAGCATAGGTGGGAGCAGGAGAAAAGCCAGGAAGCCTATCCCTGGTAACTCCTATCCCTGTGTCCTGTTTTATACCCTCAGTTCCATATGCTTGGAGAACACAAGCCCAGGTATGTCTGGGGGACATTGCTGAGTCCCCAGGCAAAGTTGAGCAATGCTCCTGGTGTGGCCTCATGCAGGTGAGCCATTGAATTGTAGCTCCCTTGCTGGACAATGGCTGTGGATGGGTTGATTGATACCCTGCCCAGTGTTCATCCTTATAATACAATTGTGCACTTTCCAATGCAGAATTTGTAATGCCAGGTGTCTTCGGAAGGCTTATGATGTACTGAGCATTGTTGTAGTAATGTTATGGGTTGTAATTTCATGTGTACGGTTATGAGGCTGAAAATGTTTTCCTATGGCCTAAAACAAGCCCAGGCAAAACTTTCCAGGAGCAAAGGGGCAGTTCACACCTCATCAGAGCATGTATGGGACAATCCCAGCCCTGCCTCACAGAAACAAAAGACGTTGGCCTAGGCAGCAAGAAAGGACCTGTTGGACTCATGAATGACTCACCCCCCTTCCCTGGGTGAGTTTGGGACTACGATGAGGTAATGCTTACCTGACCCTGAAGAGGGTGGGGGAAACCCAAATGGGAAATAAGCTCAAGAAAGCAGGAACATGACTACCAATGTGGCAGCTGCAAAACTAGAGCTGACCAGACTAGAAGCGTCAGAGAAGGCAAAGGACCACGAGTTTCAAATGTGGCAGGTGGAAATGAGGCTCAAAGCAGCAGCTGCGGAAAGGGAAACTATGGAGGCAGAAAGAACAGGAGTACTTGTGGCACCTTAGAGACTAACACATTTATTAGAGCATAAGCTTTCGTGGACTACAG